AATCATTTTATAAAATGAATTTTACTTTAAGTGTGCTAATTTGCTAGATGCTGTGTTTGTGCTCGTCACTCTCTGCCTCCTTCCTATCCTTGCATGTTCTCGACTTATTCTTCTTTATTTGATGAATAATTAGATTTTTCATCAATAACGTTCATTTTTATACATATTAAATATGTATGAAGTAATTGTTAAGACTCTTGATGGGCGAAATTCTTCTTTCATTGTCGATTGCGATGTAAGCACCTTTTTCCTTTTTTACTCTTGCCCTTAGGATGAAAAAGTGGTTGATTTCAAAAGAAGAATAGAAGCTCAACTTGTGAGTTATGATTGTTTACTAATCAGCATAGAACATTCCCATAGCTCAACAACGTCTGATCTTTCAAGGCAAAGTTCTACAAGATGACGTCATTCTCGTCAGTTATAGTAAGCTCTCTACTTTCTTCCTTCCTTATATTGGCAAATTTGCTTATTTAATTGCTTTTCAGGTGTACAGAACAAAGTTATTCATCTTGTTCCGCGTCCTCCGCCTTCTCAAATGGGTCAAGGTTCAACGACTCAGCAAACCGATACTGATCAACCTGATCCATCCGTTACCTCAAGACCTTCCCATGTTGGTGTGGGCTCAGGATACTCCTGGTCAGTCTTTAATGGATTCCAGACAGCTATTCAAGATATCGCTCATGGTATACTTTCGGGCATGGGAGATTTTGGTCGTTCCGCAGAGTATGTAGCCTAGCTGCTGTCTATGAGCCTTATATATATATATACATATATATATGTGCGTCAGAACCCTTATTTACATCCATTTTTTTTATTTTGCATAGCCTTCAGCTACATTCAGACGAGGACGGTAGCGTTGATATCTGGGTTAGCATTTCAATGCTGAGTATGAGAGAAAGCCAGTTTAATCGATTTCATAGGCAAGCTAGAGGTATCATACGCCGTCTGGCAACCTCGTACCCCGATCTTGTTTCTTCCACACCTGCCGTAGACGTTACTCCCCCTCCTACCCCTGCTGAATCCTCATCTCTCGCGGCTCCTTCAACTTCTGCTCCTATGTCTGTTGATATGCTTCTTCTTGAGCCGGATTTTGAAATTTTGAATGCGGCTGACTCTTCACGTACAAATGTTGGAGGGGAAAATGAGACCCAAATATCGGGTATTAATTCTCTTTTCCCATTTCATTTAGTTAGCCACCTGATATTCAACATTTACTCTTTTTATCCTATATTTAGCTCCAGATACGTCTGGTCCCCCTATGGCTGTAGATATATCTCTTAATCAGCCAGATTTTGAGGTGGCAACTCCAATGGAGCCATCGAGTATTGAAGACAGTGAGATGGAGCATTATTTAGAGCACCCAGGTGAATATTTCTATGCATGTCTAGACATCTATTTCATTTTTGTTTACCTTGTCTTGTCCTAAAATCGCTGTGCTTTTTCTGAACACCCTTTACCTTATTATATTCACTGCTTAATTTTTAGTTAATATAGACCATCCAAGTCGGGACTCCTCTGTTCCTCCTGCTTCAAATATCGATATGCCTGAAGGTAATACGGAACAGCATGTTCCTGAGCTGGTAATCGATGCAGGAAATATGAGCAATGAAACAGTATCTCAAGCTGAACATACATCTTCGGAGGATTCTCAGGATTCCCGCGGGGCCAATGCCGTTCAACAACCTTCTAATCGATTTCCCTTGCCTCGTGAAGTTCCCTTAGGAGTTCTTGCAGACATGATTTCTAGGCAGCGCCAGCTTTGGCGCCAAGCAGAGCCTTATCTTGAATATTTAGAGAATATGCTACGATGTGAAGAATGTGTTCAGAATCGCGAGTTCCCCAATCGTCAGCACCAACAAAGACACTCATCTAGAGTCGATGGTAGTGTGACTGAGTCATCTGCGGACACAGGTGAGGCAGCATCTAGAGATGAAAGCTCTCCAGATACATTACCTGAAACTACCACTGGGGCTTTTTCTACTGCTGAAAGACGAGAGCCTACGCGTGTAATCCCTTGGCATCAGCGAGTAAGTGTGATGCACATACATTGGCTTCTCTTTCGTCAAATCAAACTCTTGCATTTTATCTTTCACTTTTGCTTCTCAAATGTATACATATTTTGCATGGAGCTAGTGACTTTTTATGTTTAGTGGACAGTCAACATCTCGAAAATTCCATCACTGCTTCGATTAATTCAGGACCTTGCTTT